CTTGGTCATGATGTGATGTCTTTTTCATGGTTTGCTGTACCTCTTTTTTAGTATATTGCTGAGTATTTCATATCTATGTTCTTTAAAGAAATTAGCTTATAGTTTTTTTATTTGTTTGTTTGTTTTTTTAGTTGAATCTTTATCTGGCTTTGAAAGCAAAGAAATGCTAGCTTCCAGGAATGAGTTTGGCGCTACCTATTTCCTTTCAATTTCTTTAAAGAATTTTATGAGTATTGGTGTTAGAACTTCCCTGAATGTCTTGTAGAATTCATTGTTGAATTCAGCAGGTCCTGGTCTTTTCTTAGTTGGTATGTTTGTTTGTTTGATTTATTTATTTTTTATTTTTATAGAAAACATTTATTGGTACATTTTATACATACATAATAATACCAAACATCATAGGGAATTTGCATGTATACACGACACATCCCACCTTTTAAAAAATTTATTACTCTCAATTTGATTTCCTTTTCTTTGATTATTCAGTTTTGGTGATTCATATACATCTAAGAATCTACACTGCTCGAGATTCTCCAATTTATTGATGTACAGGTTCTCAAAGTAGTAATTAACAATCTTCTGGATTTTACTGGTGTCCGTTGTGATTTCAAATTTTTTTTAAGATCATTGATTTAGGGTTTTGTTTTTGGTAAGGTTGCTAAAGATTTTTCTATTTTATTTATTCTTTTGAAAAACAACCTTTCTAGTCTATTGATTTTTTAATGAATTTTTTTAAGGCTCAATTTCATTAATTTCTGCTCTGATACTTATAATTTTCTTCCCTACACTAGCTTTGGCTGTCAGTTATTCTCGTTTCTCTGGGAATTCGGGGTGCCGCATTAGGTAATTTACTCGTGCCCTGTCCGTCTCTCTATACGGGGTACATACAGAACTATGAGTTTTCCTCTAGGACCACTCTCATCGTTCCTCACCAGTTCTGCCACGTTGCATTTGTGCTCCCATTTCGTTCTATGGACTGAATTTTTTCCTGATTCTTTCCATGACTCATCATCTGATCGAGAACATGCTGTTTCCATATGTTTGCGTAATTCCTGTGGTTTCTGTTGCCATTGAGTTCTACTTTCAGTGAGCTTTGATGTGATAATATGCTTGTGATAATTTTGATTCCTTTGCATTTTCTTAATCTTACTTTATGGAATAGTACGTTGTGTATTTCAGAGAAAGTTCCATGTAGTGCTGAAAATAATGTGTATCCTGTTGTTGTTGGGTGAAACAGTGTTTTTATTAAGTCAAAATGTTTCAAGGTTTGGTATCTCTTCATTGTTTTTTTTGTCTCGTTGATCTGAGATAGTGATATATGGTGTTCCTCCACTAAACTGTGTTTATGCATATCTGATATTTTATATCCTTAAGTGTTTATTTAATGAAGTTCTGTGTGCCCTTGTTCAGTGCATATATAATTGTCTCTTTCTGTTGAGTTTTCCTTTACTCAATGCATACTAACATTTTTTTTGTGTGTGTCTCTTCTGATCAATTTTAGCTTAAACTCCAATTTGTCTGAAAATAGGATATCTACCCCTACTTGTTTTGGGGCTTCTGATGCATGGAAAACAGTTTTCCATCCTTAGCGTTTTAGTCTATAAATTTCTCTTTGGATCAGATGTTTTTCTTTTACACAACATGCCATTTAGATTTTGAGTTTTTTTTCAAAACAATCTGTCAATCTATCTATTTTGATTTGGGAGCTGAGATCATTCATTTTATGAGTTATTACTGAAAGGTATTGATTTATTTCTCTATATTAGTTCTTTATCTGAGGAACAGCTGGGAAAAATATTTTTTTGCATTCCATGAGTTGTCTCTTCACTTTGTTGGTGATTTCTTTTGCTTACAAAAGCTCTTTAACGACATGAAATACCAGTTTGTGAGGCTTTGTAATATTTCCCATGTGATTGGGGCTTTGTTTATAAAGTCTTTGCCCATGCCTACATATTCAAGAATACATAATTTTCTCTTCCAGAAGATTTAGTGTTTCTATGTTAATATTTAGATCTTTAATCCATTTTGATTTTAGTTTAGAGTACAGTGAGAGACATTGGACTAATTTTAATTTTCAGCATGTGGAGAGCCAGTTTTACCAATACCATTTATTAAATGAAGTGAAGATGTTTTGCCCCTTTTTCAAAGATCATGTGGCTGAGTGCATTTGGGGTTGTTTCTGCATTTTCCAATCTGTTTCACTTAGCCTCAGGTCTGTTTTGTTTTGTTTTGTTCTTGCCAATACTATGCTGCTTTTATCACAGTATCTTTATGGTATAATTTCAAGTCAGGAATTGTGATGCCTCCTGCCTTTGTTGCCCAGCATTGTTTATTGTATTCTAGGTCTTTTCTGATTCCAAATACATTTTAGGATTGTTTTCTCTAGTTTTTTGAGGTATGGTATTTGTATTTGATCAAAATTGCCTTAAAGCGCAATAACAATTTTGGGAGTATGGCCATTTTTAGTATATTGGTTCTTCTTATCCAAGAGCAAGGGTTATCTTCCCATTTTCTGGTATCCACTGTGATCTCAGTTTTCAGAGTATTTCAATTTTCATTGTAAGGAACTATCACTTCTTTAGTTAGATTGATTCCTAAGTATTTTATTTTTTCAATGCTATTGTGAAAAGTGTTGTTTCCCTAATTTCTCTCTGATTGTGTTATTTGTTTACAGCAAGGCTACTGATCTTTGAATGTCGACTTGTATCCAGCTATGCTACAGAATTTTATTATTAATCTAGAAATCTTTTGGTGGAGTTTTGGGGGTGTTCAATGGAGAGAGTATCATGTCACCTGAAAACAAATTTAATTTGAATTCTTCCTTGCCTATCATTATTCCTTTTATTTCTTACTCATGTCTAGTTGCTCTGGCAAATGTTTCCAGATCTATACTGAATATAAGTGGTGATAGTGGACATCCTAGTTTTGTTCCTGATTTTAGAGTGAAAGTTTTCAGGTTTTGATTAGTGTGATGTGGACTGTTGATTTGTCACAGATGGATTTTATCATATTGAGATAAAGATCATCTATTCTAATTTTACATGATGAAGTTTGTATTATGAATGGGTTTTGTACCTCATCAAGTGCTTTTTCTGCGTCTATCGAGATGGCCATGTGATTTTTGTACTTGGCTTTGTTGATAGGTGTATAGCATTTATTGATTTGTGTATGTTGAAACATCCCTGTGTCCTTGGGATGGATCCTATTTGATTGTGGTATATGATCTTTTGAATGATTTGCTGCTTTCTGTTTGCTAGTAACTTATTGAGGAGTTTTACATCTAAGTTCATTAGAGAGATCGGCCTGTAGTTCTCTTTCTTTGCTAGGGTATTTATCTAGTTTTGGTATCAGAGTAACACTTGCTTCTAGGAATGACTTCAAGAGAATTCCATTCCTTTCAATCCATTAAAGAGTTTGTGGAGTACTGGCACTAGATCTTCTATAAATTTCTTGTAGAAGACAGCATTGAATGTGTGAGGATCTGGCCTTTTCTTTGTTGGTAGGTTTTTAATTACATTTTCAATTTCATTAACTGATATTGGGTTATTTAGAACTATTATATCTTCTTGATTCAGCTTTGGTAATTCATATGTATGTAGGAATCTTTCCATTTCTTCTGTATTTTCCATCTTATTATCATATGGGTTCTTGAAGTAGGAAATGATGATGTTCCATATTTCTACAGGATGTCATAGTTGTATCCTTTTCATTCTTAATTGTGTGGATTTGAGTCTTTTCCTTTTTACTAAGATTGGTTAGGGGGTTTGTCAATTTTCTTTAATCTTTCAAAGAATCAACTCTTTAGTTCATTGCTTTTTTGTATTTTTTTTTTTAGTTCCAATTGCATTAATTTCTTCTCTGATCTTTATAATTTCTTCCTTCATATTAGCTTTGGTCTTCACTTGTCCTTTTTCTAGAAGTTTAAAGTCCAACTTTAATATTCAACATATTCATTTGAGCTCACTTTATTTTCTGAAGTGAGAATTTGTCACTATAAATTTTCCTTGTAAGATTGCTTTCAGTAGTCACATAAATTCTAATATGTTGTATCAGCATTATCATTTAACTGTAGAAAATTAATTTCATCTGCGACACATTGATTATTCAAGGGTGTTACTTATTTTCTGTGAGTTTAAGCTATATTTGTGGTTTATTTTCCATATCATTGTACTATGGTCTGATAATATGCATGGGATAATTTCAATTTATTTGCATTTACTTAAGCATGTTCTCTAAGCTAGCATGTGGACTAATTTGGAGAACATACCATGCACAGCTGAGAAGAATAATGGTGTATGCTGGATTACTCAGTAGACATCTACTAAGTTCATTTTTTCACAGGTTTTTTTGCTTGGTTCTGATATTTGTTTTTTTTTTTTTTTTTTTTT